GCTAGCTACCCGCCACATACTATTATCGACTACCTTCGCAATGTATCGAAAAAGGAATTGGATAAAATTTTGTTTGTCCTTATGTTAATCAATAAATTTCATTTTGTATACCTCCATATTTTTTTGTTGTATCTTTGAAATGTAAAAAAACTTAAAGCCCACAAATGACGTCATCATCATCAGACCACAGTGCTGGACATAGGCCTAACCCAAGTTTCACCGCAATGAGCAGCCTTTCCGCAAACTGACATATGACGTCACACGTAGCGAATCGTTGTTGCGTTTTGATCTACATCTTTGATTAGTAAGTCGTCGTGGCCTAAGGGATAAGACGTCCGGTGCATTCGTGTTGAGCGATGCACTGATGTTCGAATTTCAGGCGGGTACTCAATAAATGTTCTCGATTGACTTCCACGGTGAAGGAATCACATCCTGTAATAAAAAAAAACACACGCAGTTCTGTCACGTTACACGCATCCGAAATGACACATGCGTGGCCACAAATGACGTCACACGCGCCTAATCCAGCGAACGTTTGCGCGGCAACGCTGTACCCGACCGATCGAATTACGAAAGTTTAGATAGAATCTCTCGCGAAAACAGAAACTCAGAAAGCGCGCGAATTCTTTAAGAGGCCCACAAATTAAGTATGATTCGGAGAAAGTGATGCCCCTCGCTGGTAGCGCCCAACAGCGGATTTTAGATATTCGCAGCGATTAATGGTGCGACCTACTATTGTTATCTATTTATTAATACGTGAAGCAAAAACTTTGTACCCCCCTTTTTACGAAAATTGCTCGGACTGAGGAGTATGAAATTTCCCACACTTATACAGAATATAGAGGAGTACATAATGCTAATATTTTTTTTTAAATTATGCATAAAAAATACATTAAGTCAATAATAAAAACATTACACACACTACCACGTATCTGACACACACACGCATGCATACTATTTGTTTATTGTCAAACTTTTCTTATTGCTTATAGTCTGTGGTTAAATTGAGAATAGATTAAATATTGGACTTTTGGCGGGAACGCGAGGAGTGAAGTTGTGTGATTTGTCTTATTTTGTCTATTTAGTGTTTCTTCGGGTTTAAATGTGTAATAATGGTGGTTTATTAACTGTTTAATATCTGTGAAAGTGCACAAATGTGGGAAAATGAAACAAAGCTGCTGGACGTAACTTCTCGGGTTCCTCCAAAAAGTCCACTGAAAAAATCTCAGTAAATGACCACCATTTTACTGCGATTATATTTCATCCCATATCATCTCATTTCATTAAATTTCATCCCAGTTGATTAATGTCTCAAATTAATCATCTTCATTTCATTTCACTCCATATTATCATTTTTCATAAAATTAAGAATATAAAGTAAAATAAGACATGACTTAAAGGTCTTAGTTACCAGGTCATAAAATCTCATAAAAAAAAAAAAAGATTAAATATTGTTTATAATATTTGTCTAAAGACTACCTAGTCTTGGCGAAATCTGTGATTATAGAAGTTTATAAGTTTGACAATAGAATCAAAATAGTGTACAAACTTATAATTTCAATTAATTACAGCCGAATTTCGACTACCGGGAGACCACTAGTATTTAATTGATACCCCTAATAATCTAACTGACTAGTGCAGTGGTTAGCGCTGATTATTCCGCCGAGGGTTGCCAATTTGGACATCGGGCATAGATTGTCTGATGATTATATTTGTTTGCTCTTCGTTCGGGTATTTAATGGGAATCTACTTACGGGATTTTTTACTGGTGGTAGGACCTCTTGTGAGTCCGCACGGGTAGGTACCACCACCTTGCCTATTTCTGCGGTGAAGCAGTAATGCGTTTCGGTTTGAAGGGTGGGGTAGCCGTTGTACTACTGTATACTTGAGGCCTTAGAACTTATATCTCAAGGTGGGTGGGTGTTCTGTGATTGATACCTGCCACAGGTACCTATTATCTTGGGACATTTCGTACTTGGCTATTTAGAGTAGGACTGATGACCTGCTGTGAGTCGCGGGATAGTAGTGCAAAAGCGGTCGTTGTGGCGAGCTTTGGGTGATTCCTGTGTCCTCTGTGTGCTGATACATAGAATAGGTAGGATTCGAACGCCGGTCGTCTTATCCTTCAGTCCACGAGCGGAACGTAAGAATGTTCTCCGATATCCTTATCTGCCTTGGTCGGGCGATCCATACTGCCGTTTCAGGCATGACTGGCCGACAAGGTAAACCACTCCGACCAGACCAAATACAGACTGCGCGTATCTGATTATGGTGCCAAAGGACCCGTCTGACTATGTTTTCGTGGACGGCCCTGTGTGATCTTCCTGAAAAACAACTTGGGACTCTTTCTGGACGCACTGGTGGCAGAATGTATTCAGCCCTTAGCGTAGCAAATCCAATAAAAAAAATTATCCAACATAAATGAAAGTACATAGGTATGTTGAACGTCAAAAAGAAACTACCGCCAATTCACAAAAAGTAGCCTCCGTCCTGAGAAGAACTGGCAAGAAACTCAGCGGGCATGTCTTTTTTTTTTAAATATTCATTTTTTATAATGAGTATTATAACGTAACAATTATTGCAATATTGAAATGCCCGGAGCGAGCAACTCATTCCCACTTTGTGCAATCTTCTAGATAATCATTGAGCAGATGCCCGTTTTGAAGAGTGGCACAGCTGTTATGGTGTAGGCTAGTCCTCGTTAGACAGTCAACCATTTTTTTATTGCTATTTGGACGAGGTCACAGTACACCTGGTGTTAAATGGTTACTGGAGCCCATAGACGTCTATAACGTAAATGCGTAATGCTCAGTATAGTTACAACAGCTGCCCCGCCCTTCAAACCGCAACGCGTTACTGCTACACGGCAGAAATAGGCGGGGTGCTGGTACCCGGGTACCCGTGCGGACTCACAAGAGGTCCTACCACTAGTAATTACGCATTATAATTTTGCGGGTTTCATTTCTATTACACGTTATGTTATTCCTTCACCATGGAAGTAAATCGTGAGCATTTCTTAAGTATGTATTTCGTTACAAAAAATTGTACCCGCCTAGCCTGCGGGAATCGAACATTGGGCACAGTGGCGTCGCTCGATACGAACGCACCGGCCGTCTTATTTATTAGGCCAAGACCACTTCATTTTATTACTATTGGTCAAATTTATTTACCAAAACCCCACCGATAGAGAACTATTTGTTGAGTTTTAATTGAACTTCCTATTGATGCTTGTTTTTTTTTTTTTATCTGCATACCGTTGACACGCGGTGACAGAACAAACCGTTATCATTTCCTATGGCGAAGGGTTTAAAACCGTTTGTTCATTTATCAGTATACAAATAATAATAAAATAAAAATAAAAACTCTTCATAGGAAGTGAAACCACAGATACAACAAAATTTGCGATTTTTTTTTTTATTACTTTTTAAATTTCTGACTTCATTTGAGTGACTCATATTATAAGACTATAGTACGTTTGCGTCAGACTCAAAATACTTTGATGATAATGATTCACATGGAAAATGTTTACTGTCTATGCTTATTTATCTGTAGGCGATATTATCATAATTGCTGTTGAAAACGGAGACCGTAAAATAATATTATTATTTTTGCCGGAAATCGTCAATTTGACTAAATAGAAAATGTTACCTAGGTTAAGACTGAATCATGCATTTAAAAAAAAAAGTAAAAGTTGTATCTTTCATCGAATATTGCCACAAAATTAGCGCCATGTGCAATGTACGTGTTGGCGCGTAATTTCTTCGGTGACATTCCAAAGTCACCTTTAAATCGTATACGATTAAAGGTCACTATGGCTTGTACAGAATGAGAGATCTAAAACTAGCAAAATGACCTAAGTTCAACGTCCAGTGTGCAGAGAGCCGTCTCTACTCAACGCGCCTTAAAAAGATAAGCTCACGATGAACTGGTGATGTATCGCGTGCAAAACTACCAGTTTACATTGATCTATCAGATGTTTGGCAATGTTTGTTTATAATTGTAGACGGGTGGGTCGTGACTTTGTGGTCGTTGAACGGGCAGCGCGACGCCACGTTCGCGACTCGCGTTCGAACTCCGAAGTCGCAGTTCGGTTTTTCGCGCCAATGAAGACTGACGGCGCGGCCCGCGTCGTTTCGCATGTAAACAAAGGCATTGTTTCCGCGTAAATATTTCTTTCGTTTCTGAATCGGAAAAAAAGACTAAAATCGACCTGTTGAATAGTGAAAATCTGTTTAAAACATTAATAATAGTTTTTTTTATGTAAAATACCAGCTGTTTCTTACGTATCGAAAGAAAAAAAATTTAAGATTTTTTTTTGTAAGCGTTCGTAATTTTCAAGCGTAAATTGGAAAATTTCTTTTTAGCAAAGGCTCATTACGGATGTTTTTGTATTTTTTCAAATTATGATATTGTGTTGTTGTTTATTATTTTGAACAAAATCACTATCACTATCATAATCGGGCTTCGATCGTAAACAAAAACAATATGGCGTTTTGCGAACATGAATTTCTAATTTTAAAATTGACAATGTTTATCAGTCGCGCTGCATTCCGTGAATGATAGATTTATTATTGGTAAACAAAAGACTGTAAATTCTACTCTTGAAAAAACCGTGTGATTTGTAACGTAAACTTATCTCTTTCATATAAAGAAATTCTCTTTCATCTTTAAAGTTTAAAATAATCATTAACATTGTTAATGTCACCGGTAAACACTAAACGCGTATCAAGTAAATCGTAATATTGAATGACGACTGTAATGAATTCATTTTTGAAAAAATAGAATTCGGACGATTTCTTTTAGAATAAAGAACAGAGTAATTTTAAATTTAGAAAGTTTTAAATTTTGCATTACGCGCGTCGCTTAGAAAAACGAAGAAATAAATTGAATTTTAACTGTAATGAAATAAAGCATTGTTTACCTTAAAAAACTGTGAATGTCTCTAGTCATATGATGATAATAATTTTATTGTATTAGTAACAGATTTTCTTTTATTATAGTTCAAAGAAATTTAAAACGCAAACTGCCACAGTACTAGAAGTGATTAGAAAAGTCAAGTGAAAAATAAAAGTGAATAAACAAATTGAAATAAAAAAAAAAAACTTTTTTGGCTCTATCCCAACTGACTCAGTAGTGTGCATCAAAATGTATACGTTTACGCTGAAATGGTACTTTTCGGGGCGAAAGTGACAAAGAACCAAGATGTCTCCCGATAAACGCAAAAGGAGGATCGGAGAGGAAATTCATTTTAGTAACAAAATAAGGACTCGTATATAAAAGCCCCAAATATCATATACATATTATAAATAAATATATCTGATCTCAAAATATCTTAGTGCTCAATATTAGTTTATTCTAATACAATTTTGATACATCGAAAATGATCGCCCTGAAGAAACTGTATGGCGACGAGCTACTTCGCCTGGCTCTGGTTTTGAGTTTGCTCAGGATCGACCCAGACGACTACCTCGAACGGGAGACCCAGTTGCTGGCCGGTCTGCACATCGCGAACGGTTCCGACCTGTCCCCGGAACAGGAGGCCCGGACGCTGATACGGCCGAGGTTCGTCCACCCCAAGTCCCTGGACAACATCCTCGTGAACTACGAGAGGCAGCTGTTTGAAGAGCTCAACTCCTTGGGCCGGTACGGTCCAAGCGCACATAATGCCCGGATGTGGCAGAACCGTGGCCCGATTCTTCATACATATTTATTGAACGATGTCGCAACTGGCGCAGTCGAACCCGTGTCAGCGGCCCAGTCGGTCGCAACCGACCAGGACGCCGTCTCGGCGGACGACAACGTCGCCCAGGAGGTCAAAGTGACCGACGAGGACGCCCAAGACCAAAGTCGCGAGTCCACGGTGACGGTGTCGGACAACTTCCTCCACAATCGCACCGAATCGGATATATTTCCGGAGATCGCTTCCAGAACCTTCGACGTGACCGAGTTCCTGGTGCAGCAGGACAATATGCAAATTAAAAAGGAACAGGACGAGGCTTTCGACCTCAAGGTCAACGAATCGAACACCGATGACTTTTACAGTGACAACGCTATCGACTTTGCGACTTATTTTGCTGCAAGATCCGAGAAGATCGAGGTGGAGGAGCCTAATTTATATCACCAGAATATGGCCGACCTTCAAGATTATGGGGACGTCTTCGCCGACGATCCGGACCTCAAACACGACCTGGAACTAGACATAAAACAACAGCAGGAGAACTTGGAACAGTATCTCCTTGAGAACACTCCTTTGGAAGCGGAGGTCTATGAATTGGCTCCAATGTTTGAAGAGGAACTGGTGTTGGATGTTAAGAGGGAAAGAGCTAGCACTAGTTTCACGTCGGCCAGTTCGAGTGGCGTGAGCGAGATGGACATATCCGACGTCAAAACCGAGCCGTTGGACTATAATGACGTCAAGGTCGAGCCTGACGAGGGGAACCATACTGGAGATGAACTGACGCAAGAGGTAAGGTCCTTATTATTGTTTATTAAGTAAATATCTTACATATATGAGCCTTCTTATATCTTAATAGGCGCAATGGTGGTTCTGTACGGGCTGGTTCAGACAATAATCCCTACCATACCATATGGGGATACTGGGACTTCTTATAGACGACCTTGGTTAAGTCTAGCGGGAAACATTGCGTAAGTACGTACACTGTTACGTGCTTTGAAGTTTTGAAGAGTCTTCAGCAGCAGACAGCTATCTGTCCCTCTGGCTCTGCTAAACCGCCTTCAGAAAACTAAGCTCTATTTCCGCATTTGAATGTGAGACAGTTCGGTTCTAAGGTTAGAAGTCGGTGATTCAGAGAAAGCTTTAATGTATAGACAAATGTTTCAATGTCAACTTCGCCTATTTAGAGACAATAACATTTGGGTATTTTTGTATATACCGCTTCTATATATCAGCCTCACAGCAGAATCAGGTATATGGTACATACACCAATATGTCCCAAGGTTTCAAGCGGGTGTACTAGCTGACGACTACTTGAAATACCAGAACTCGTAGACGTCTTTTACTGGTGGTAGGACCTCTTGTGAGTCCGCGCGGGTAGGTACCACCGCCCTGCCTATTTCTGCCGTGAAGCAGTAATGCGTTTCGGTTTGAAAGGTGGGGCAGCCGTTGTAACTATACTTGAGACCTTAGAACTTATATCTCAAGGTGGGTGGCGCATTTACGTCGTAGATGTCTATGGGCTCCAGTAACCACTTAACANGTCTTTTACTGGTGGTAGGACCTCTTGTGAGTCCGCGCGGGTAGGTACCACCGCCCTGCCTATTTCTGCCGTGAAGCAGTAATGCGTTTCGGTTTGAAAGGTGGGGCAGCCGTTGTAACTATACTTGAGACCTTAGAACTTATATCTCAAGGTGGGTGGCGCATTTACGTCGTAGATGTCTATGGGCTCCAGTAACCACTTAACACCTAGTGGGCTGTGAGCTCGTCCACCCAGCTAGCAATAAAAAAAAAAACGTCACAATGTGGCCTCCTTGAGATGTGAGCTTGAAACCCTAACTGCGTCGCGACAGGTAATTGGTACCTACCTACCCGTGCACACACCCTGTGGCTGTCCGTGTTTGATACCTATGTGTTACGTCAGTCAGTTTTGAATTGTTTATGCATGCGTAATGTTGGTGCGATGTCAAATGTCAATCCATTTACAATTCCGATGAAGCTTGTCTTCGATTGTGGGCTTGAAGGAACTTTGCATTTGTATCACCGTGGCGTCGTTTTGAATTTATGTGAATTAAAATTGATGTTTTATTTCGTGTAGTAAGGGCAATTTGCGTTTCGATTCCATATTCTGGCCGGTCTAATTCTATCAAGTTGACGTTTCGGCTTGAAGAACCGGAAGAACGGCAGTTGCGCTATAAAATCCGTCAACGCGTCTGGTTTGGGGGGGGGAGGGGGGTTATTCACGTTGATTTTACAGTCATCGAAAGAAAATTGCCTACATTGAAAGTTGTAGGACAATAGTCTTCTACTAAAAGGCCTCCTACAAAAAGACTCTGGGTATGAAAGTAGATAGTGATTTGAAGAGGAGGCGTCTTAAAAGGACTTGGATTGGACTGTGAAAGGGTGTGAGTGCAGAGATTACGTTTGTTAGGTCTGAACGGAAAAAGAGGACATAGTGGGATAATTGCAAGGAGATGGCGAAGAGTCTCCTTCTAAAAGGCACTATCATAACAGGACCCATACGCATCTGAAAGGGCCATATTTATAGGCATACGGCTATAGTAAATCTCGAATATGGTCCAAGGACCGCTCCGGATTAGGAAAGCAATTTGCGGCACCAAAGTTTCGACCTTAACTCCTTATCGAATCGTATTATCGTTCATTCACACTTGTCGCGTTATCGGAAACCGGCTTGCGACCCCGAGCAACCTTGAATTACGGCTCGCATCTAGAGCAAAGCTGAAGAAAACCAGCAGAAACCCAGATTGTTCTAGTCATTTCGAGACAACATTGCGTATATACAAGCTCTGGACATTCGAACCGATGTCAGTCCCTTCAGAGCCTTGTTGTCAATAGAAGACCTTCCCTCGTTCATTCCTTACATGCTCTCGTCGGAGGTCTTTGAAGGACCTGTGTACCGGTATAGCCAAGGTCAGAGTTTATTAATGTCCTTTTAGGCAGACGACCTTATAGGCCCACCTAATGGTGAGTGGTTACCGTCGCTCTTGGATATTAGCAATGCCAGGGGCAGGGCCAAGCTGCTGCCTACCGTTAACAAAAGCCGCGTTTGAGGAAGGAGATAAAGCGTGCCACTGCTAAGCACCATAGATAGTTTAGGAGTTATAAGAGAAAAAATAAACATACCCACATTCGCTGCTAAAATTATAAACATCTCAACCCTCGCGGCGGTCTAGTGGAATGATGACGTCACACACAATGAACGCGCTGCTAAACATTTTATCGATCCAGGAATGACCTTCGAAAAGTCTAGATTCCCGAGACTGCAAATGACCTGACGTCCTATTGGGGAACGTAAGTCGTTGATCCCGCTCGGTCTGAGCTAAGTTTCTCGGTGTGGAAGGAAGAGGATGATGCTACCACGATAACAGCTGGCCCTCATAGCATAGAGATCCAGCAATAGTCTGGATCGCGCAACTGGTGGTAGGACCTCTTGTGAGTCCGCATGAGTAGGTACCACCACCCCGCCCATTTCTGCGGTGAAGCATGTCTATGGGCTCCAGTAACCACTTAACACCAGGTGAGCTGTGAGCTCGTCCACACATCTAAGCAATAAAAAAATAATAAAAAAAATAATAATAATGCGGTTTGGTTTAAAGGGTGGGTCAGCCGTTGTAACTATATCTACTTGAGAACTTATATCTCAAGGTGGGTGCCGCATTTACGTTGTAGATGTCTATGGGCTTCAGTAACCACTTAACACCAGGTGGACTGTGAGCTCATCCACACATCTAAGGAAAAAAAAAGTCTCCTACCATCCATCAGAGAACAGTGCACGTAGCTCACGGCCCAGCTGCTGTTAAGTGGCTACCGGAGCCCATGGACATCGGCAACATGAATACATGACTAAACCGAATTACCGTTTCGGGGCAGAAACTATCCGTAAAATCCCTGTCTAGTATATTCTTGACTTGAATATACACACAATATATTAAAACGTAAAAGATTTAAGGCCTTATTTCACACGAATAAGCTTAAAATGCGAGGTCGCTGAACCGATTCGCGAATGGTGTCACTGACCTCGTCCGCGGTACTAATAAATAATTTAAAGTTTTTTTTTTTTTTGGCTTCCCTTCATACTGGCAAACGATTTCGGAATCCATCTATGGTTGAGTGTCGGAATTTTTATTTATTGACGTTCTTTTGAACACGCCCCGCCCATTTCTGCCGCGAACGTCTTCTGAGTCCAAGGGCGGGGCAGTCGTTGCACCGTAAAAATGAGATTTAGAAGTCGTGTCTCATTGATGTCCATGGGCTCAGGTGACCGGTTACCGCCAGGTCGGCCATCGTTAAAATTGAAATTTTTGGTATTTAATTTCTACTATGAAGTCACTATTAAGATTCTATTGTCAAAAGACTTATTATACTACCTTTAATCACAGATTTCGCCAAGACTACACTACAGACAAAATTAAATATTAATAAAGACTAAACAATATTTAATCTATTCTCAATTTGACTACCGACTTGAAGCAATTAGAAAAGTTTGACAGTAAACAAATAGTATGCATGAGTGTGTGTGTCAAATACATGGTAGTGTGTGTAATGTTTTTTCTTAAATTGATTTAATGAATTTTTTATGCAATATTTAAAAAAATATATCACTCTGCACTCCTCTATATTCTCTACAAGTGTGGGAAATTTCATACTCCTCCGTCCGCGCGATTTTCGTAAAAAGGGATACAAAGTTTTTGCTTCCGTATTAATATATAGATTACCTCCACACGCGTTCGTTCTTTGTATACAAGTGAATTAACTGCTTCGTTAATTTCCTATTTACTCAAATAACTGATGGCTGAAGGAAGTATTGTAGAATGAAGTATTATAACAAGGGCTGAAACGCCAATTGGTTTAAGCGACATTTATCTTTGTAATTAAAGGTCCGTTTTATTCGGTATCAGCATCAACAGTTCGATGTTTTGTAATTGAACTTCAATTAAGCTTACTCCGTTCGAATACCTGAAGAAGTTTTTGTTTTACGATATTTTTTGCAAATTTCAAACTTTAAATGGCTCTCTCCTTAAAGTTGCAAAAGTGTCGCTTAAACCAAACAGCCTTACACCCCTCGATATGAAGTTGGATAGATATATAATAGACAAATGGACGAGATCACGGCCTACCTGAAAGGAGCGCATGGACATCAACAACGTAAATGCCAACACCCATCTCGACATGTGAGCTAAAAGTCCCAATTCCACTTCCTCTTCAAGCGGCAGAAATAGGCAGGGTGGTAGTAGCAATATCAGCGGGCTAATAAGTGGCAGTACTTATATGTATTTTTCTGAGGACGCACAGTAGGTATACCTTTGCCCAATATAGTTAAAAAAAATAGCAAATTTTTTTTTTTTTATGTAACCATTTATAAATATATGAACAGAAGAAGAAAGTTTCGTAAAATATTATTTTGTTAATAATAAAATTAATAATAATCTATTAATAGACCTATAATAGTATAGATAAATAATATTGATTCTAAAGTAATACAATATATATTTTTCATTATATAAATACATAGCTCAAACTCCGGGTGTCAAAGTCATATGCTTTAAATGTTTTAGAACTAACTAAAATCAACCTTATCGTCAAAGGAGAGAGCAGTTTTCTTATTGTAGCTGTATGTGTTAACTTAGTAATGATAGCTAAGTGAGTGGATTCGTTTTTCACGTAATAATAAAAAAACATTACCATCCATTGTTCTATGGAGCATTCAAACTTTTTACGTGTTTTTTTTTTCTGCTTATTGACGCGCCAAACTTCGTGATTTTTTCTAGTCA